GCTGCCTATAAAATTAAAATTATTAATACTTAAATTATTTAAATTTATAAATCGTAATTACTCGTGACACTGAATAGTCATCTTCTTCAATAGATAGCATTGGGGATATACTCGAGTATTGAGGCGGCGAAATAAACCTCACTTCGGATTCAGTGAATAACTATAAAATAATAATAAAATATGTATTGTATTTTTACGAGTGAATAAGTTTTAAAGACTTACCTCTGGAGACATTTTTCCGCTCAATCGTTGCGCCCAACGTTCAGCTAATTGTGAAGAAGCATGCATTTTGAGTTGACTGATGAAATTGACATCATTTTTTGGAATTTTTGAAAATACACTTTCGTCGCTTATATTTTTGATAAATGTGACCATTTCTTCAGGTGTTTTTGGTGGTGAATCAACTTTGGCGGATTCAATATCAATATAGTTCAAAAACATATCGAATTGTTTTATGACAACTGGACGTATGATGGTTGACTTTCGAACGACTGTTTCAAATATACACCATTCTAAATATTGCAATTTCATTAAATCTGCACGATTTAGCAATACTCGACATCCATCTTGTGTTTTTGATTCGATGACAAGCATATTTTCCCCTTTATACAGCTTACTAGATAGTGAAATAATTTCTGTTTCCAGAAATAAATTTCGCTTGTATTTTTGAGGTAGGTCGAGTATAAAAGATAGAATGTTCCCCATAAGTGAGAATATACGTCTTAAAAAATCAGGTGGCATATTTACATATCTCGAAGGAGTGATGACTTGTACTATGGTGTTAAATTCATCTGCAAGATCAAGTCCTACATTCAAAAACTTACGGCCGGTGAAGTCAAGTATAAAATTACTGCAGTCGATGAGATCCGCGGGCGGTGCTGGAGGCAAATAAGTGAACGTCTTATTTTTGTACAGCGCAGCGTTGTTGGCGAAAGAACCAGCCATGATTAAAATTATTTTTTGAAAATAAAAACACACACTTTAAAATCACTGAAATATAAACGTCTTGTCGCTAGAATGGATGTTCAGCTACTAACGAATTTGATCCACAGTATGAAGTGAATACCATTGCTAGCGCTAGTGTCATTGGTTATTAAGAGTTCGCGACATCCTGGCGACCGGTAGGGCACATTAAGAAGACATTTATATGTGATTATTACTGCCATTTGGCAGGAAATGTCTTTCGATCACTAATGTCCAGGTGGTGTGTGAATATTTTATTGTCAATATGTCTATCAATATAAATGGTTTTGCAGTGTGTAGTATTTTTAATTGAAAAAGTATACCTATTGTCTCTTAATGTCGAAAGTGTCTTTCAATATAAATGTCCATTATGGCTATTAAGAGTATGCGACACGAGTCGTGCGAATTTAACATATAGAATAATCCTAATGGCAGGAAATATACGGGCAATTGTGGTCAAATGTCTCCTATTATGGTGTATTCGTCGATATTATTTGTGTACGCAGCTGCAAGCTATTAGTATCTTAATGATAACGACTATTAAGAGTCGGCGATATCCTGGCAACATGAGCGAATATGATATTTTTAAGTTTATCGGTTATTAATGTGTATTAATAGGCATTTTAATATCGTTAGTGTGCGACATCCTGTCGACGTATGTTCTTAATTGTTTATCGATGAATTGAATAGGGATATACATTATGAGTCCGCGACATCCTGGCGAAAGGTAGGGTACATTAAGCTTTAATTGAAAAAGGATATTCTCCTATTGTCTCTTAATGTCGAAAGTGACTTTCAATATGAATGGTTTTTGCAAGATAGTGTGTGAATATTTATTTGAATACGGATAATATAACTATTATTTGTCAAGGATGTTTGTATATATTATTTTTCTAAAAATATAAGAAGGAACAATACGTTGTTAGAATATTTATTTGATTATGGGATAGTATTTAAATATATATATATACTATATTATTCAATGGGTTAGAGTGGAGTTGAGAAGGAGGGTATCTCCAGGTTCTAACGCAGAATATTATATTTTTTTTTAAATATATGAAAAATGTATGCCACGCATGTGATAACGGATTGAATGTATGATAACATGTGATAACATGTGGTTCAGTTGGTTCAGGGTTCAGGATGTTCAGGAGGGCGGTGGCGGATCAGTGGGATCAGTGGATCAGGAGGTTCAGGAGGTTCAGGGTTAAGGGCCCAGAACATACCTTTTTATACTACTTAGTCATGATCCGATTTCGTTTGCACCTCGCTTGGCAATAGTTTCATTCCAAACATAGCATGCTCCATCACCGTTTTTCATGTTGTAAAATGTTAAGTTGTACGTAGCTAGTCTTCTTTTATAATAAAAGTTTGAAATTTTGCCATCGGGTGTGATCAATATTGCATGCAAATCAAAACATTCAGAAAATATGGTTCCATTTATTGCATTTTGTTTGTCCATCACGTTTTCTTTCCGTGAAGCGTTTTTTTCTAAATCATGTTTTAATTTAATTTCTTCTACTTCTTGTGTTTTCTGTATTGTATTTTTATAAGTTTCGCATACACTGCACTGGTCTTTTTTTAGTATATGAAAACCGATATTAAAATCATAATTAAAAATACGTCGATATGCAGTTAAATTTGCCCACTTTAACATACCATTTTCTTTACAATACTGTTCATACATGCGATGCATTTTTGAAATATTTAACTCTCCAGATATAAATGTGCGCGTGGTTTGTTTCCTTAAATAATGCGAGTCAATGGTCGGATAAAGTTTTATATGATTGCAGACGGAATCCTTATTTAATGGGTCAATAGCTTTATGATTTTTGTATTTTCCTCTAAAATCTTCAGACAAAAAACCATTTTAAAGTTTACTTCTTACAGTTCGAATTGTACGATCCGTAATATTTAAAGTATTTTTAAAATAGGTTTTACATACTTGTACTAGAAGACCATTAATATTAAAAATATATCTGTAATTTAAAGATCTGTTACTATTTTGTTTAGGATAACGATGTTTAGGATTTATTTCGGTGACATGCCTACTTATAAATTCCCGTTGTCTTGATAAGTTTCCTAACTTCCAATATTCCTTAAAAATTAAATTTCTCTCGTCTTCGGATATTTTTTTTGTACAGTTAGATCGACATTTTGAACTACACGGTTCTTTTATAGTTTTACCTTCAATAATTTTCCCATTGACACTGTTATATTGCGCTCCAGAATTTCTATTTTGTCGTCTTTTATTTTTTCCCATGTTTCTTCATTCTTTTTTTTTTTCGTTTATGAACCTCTACTTCAGAATCCGAATATGAAGATGACGTATTAGAAATAACACTTATGTCTTTATTGATATTATGGTTTACCTTAATATTGTTGTGACTACTTGTAATAATTTTATGATTAGTTTCTTCGTTATCCGTATCATATGCGAGAATATTACCATGTATTTTATACGGTTCCCAATCAGAACTACCGCTGTCTTCAAAATCACTACTAACTAACTCTTCTTCAAGATACTCATTAACATTTTTAGATGCCATATTCGAGTAAAAAAATAACTTTAAAATATTTTAATTAAATTACAAATCACCAAAAAAAAATAAAAACAAACGGCGGTAACTACGGCTATTAGGTAGAAACAACGACTACACATACACGTTATAATATTATTACAGATTATTCCGCATGACAAAAATGTAATCAGTAGATATTGGAGAAGTGGATAATCAAAGTAAAACCTAATAAACAGGCCACGGGGCACAAAATGTTCTCACTTAATATAGATAACATTCAATACTTATGATGCACAGTTAAGATAATATTATGAAATTTCTAATCTAAAATAAAAATAGCCGGTATCTTATGGTTGATATTGGAGTTATGACAGTTTTTACAAAAAATTTTATTTTGGTTTAATATATTCTATAGGGACACACGTCATCAAAATACATAGATAAATCCTGTTTAGAGTTGTGTCGTTTTAACAGTATATGAAACGAAAAAAAATAATTTGTATGATGTTATTATCTAAAAAAGCCAAATTTTTGACTTGTGTCATTATAGTCGCCGGGGTGCGATATTATGATTGTGTGTCCACGAATGTTGTTTATTTTTGTCGGCTCAACACAATGAGTACCTATTGATAATTAATATTTGTTAAAATTTTATACACAATTCTATGAAATGAGTATCAGCTAATGAAGACGACCATCGTCATACGGGCAACAGGGATAGATGTTTTAGATTTTGCTATTATTAGTTGCTCTCTCAAGTTACTAAGTAGCATGACATATTTTTTATTTTATACTTTTAGATCGTTTCAATATTTAGGATGTGAAATTCCAGTTTTATAATAAACATTCTTTTTGGAATACCTGATATGATAATACATTTTACCAAACGTTTGTTTCCCGTGTAATAGGTATACGGTATACAGAAAATTACGTAAATATAAATAAAAACAATTTTTTTTGGAAGTTCACAAATAAATTTTTTAGATATGTACTCATAGATAACTAGAATTCTATCTAGATAAAGATAAATATAACTAGGCTAAAATTTATCTAGATAAGATAAAAGATAAATAATTTCTATCTAGATAAATTTATCTAGATATTTCCCAACACTGCATACTACACGTGAGATTTAAAACCAATCAAGTACATAGCTGGGAATCGTTGTACACGGAACATCGACGTATTGTTATATACTTATATAAAGCATCGTAATCCGTAGCACAGAATAATATGATGTTCGTAATAAATGTATCGTACTATATTTAGATTTTATGCGTTTAAAATAGTACATGGTAGCACCGCGGAAACAATGTTATCACTTACCGCTCATCCGAGGTAAATAAACCGAGGTAAATAACCTAGTCAAAAGCTTTACTAAAGTCAGTGAATACGGCATCAACTTGGCAATCGGACTCAAAGCTCTCAAGAATATACGACGTGCGGGCTAGGGTACAGGTGGTAGTAGATTTCCCAGGACGAAAACCATGCTGGTCAGCCACTAATATATGGTTAAGACTTCTTTTGATATTAGTGTATACAATGGACTCAAGTAGTTTTGAAATGTGGGAGAGAATAGAAATAGGCCTGCAGTTAGAAACAAGTGAGGGCTCACCAGATTTAAAAACAGGGGTGACAGAGCTGGTTTTCCATACAGCAGGGAAAATACCTTCGTCGAGTGATTGTCTAAAAAGCATAAATAAAGGGTAAATAATGGAGTCTTGACAATTAAAAAGTAAACGTGCAGAAACACCATCAGGGACATTGGAATTGGTATTTTTTAGGGAGTTTAGTGCAAGTTGCACATCATCAAGTGTAATGAAGCAATTAGAAGGAAGTTCGTACGGATATCATTTATTTATAGGGGGATAAAAAGGTGGAGAAATAGAAAAATTATACATGGAAGAGAAGTACTTAGATAACAAATTGGCATAATCACGAGGATTATCAGCCGTTGTGCTTACTTAGATTTTTAGTATACTTCCAAAAGGAAGAGGGATTGTGAGTGTGCGAGTATTCAGTACGTCTTATATATGACTGATAGTCTACCTTGGAAGTGTGTTTACATTTCGCACGAAGCTCAGAAAAAGCTAAGTAGTCGCAGGGCAACTTAGTCGGCTTAAAAGCTGCATGGGCACGTTTTTTCTTTAAAATAAGATTTTTAAGTGTGGGAGAGGTCCAGAGAAGAAATTTTGGTAACTTAAAAATTTTTGTAGGAACAAACAACTCAATGGAATGAAGCACGGTTTCATTAAAAATAGAGGCAGCATCGTCTATTGAATATTGTGAAAATGTAGACTCCCAGCTAAATGAGTTAAAAAATTGCGATATACCAGAGTAGTTTGCATCTTTGAAGTCTTTATAGGTATTATCTGCCACATTATCAAATTGGTAAGGGAAGATTATGTGAAGAGGCAGGTGATAAGGGTCCGGAATAACAAGTGATTCAGTTACTGTACTGATAGTGGCTTTATTGGAGTTTGAAAAAATAAGATCTAGAATGCTGCCATGACTATTAGGAAGGAAGTTATGTTGAAAGAAATTTAAGTAAGAAAAAGAGTCTATAATAGATGTAGTAACCATATTGTGATCGTTTGTG